CCCCCCCCCCCAGCCACAGCCACAGCCACAAAACCAACTGCCACCACAACCATCAAACCTACACCAAAAACCCCATTCCACATTGTGTAAAAGTGAGCAACCACGAACAAAAACTAGAAATAAAATAAAACAAAATAAAATATTGCCAGATTTCATGGTTGCAGAAAATTCCAATTTGAACTCCGATTCAAGATTTGAAATAAAGTGTATTTATCGATGAGATTTAAAATCAATTGGAACTCCGATTCAAGATTTTCAACCATACTTCTCGTTTGTGAGTATTATTACAAATATTGTCAGATTTGAAGGTTATAGAAAATTCCAATTTTCTCTGACTCACAGAATTGGAAAGAAAAGTAGAGAGAATGTATTGTTATGATTTAGAGTGGGGTGTGAGGTATATAAGAAGTATGGGGGTTGATGATGTTGTTGAGAAAGAGACGATTCCATATTCTGTAGGTTAGTTTAGGTTGGATGGGGGTGGGTGTCGGGGTGGGGGGTGATTTTTAATTTTTTATTTCTTCTCTCTTTTTTATTTTATTTTGTTTTATTTTTATTTCTAGTTTTTTAAATTATTTTATGTATATAATAGCAAATTTACCATTTTACCCATTTTAATTTGGTCAAAATCAATCAAAGTCCACCTTCCTTGGTTCAACTAACGGTCAAACGAATGAAAACTATCCATTTGGACCCCAAGTACATATTTTTGAAAGGTTTGAGGCTGTGGGTGGCACAAACGAAATTTTTGGACAATGTCTACTAATAAACGAAAGATTTGATACCTCGGTGGCAATTTTCCCTCTTTAATATTGGCAAACTACAATATTAGGTATTCCATATTTGTCTAATATTATTTTGATCAAAATAGTCACCAATAATACCAATATTTATCTATCTTATAAAATTTTGGACCCCATAAACTTTCAAGAAATATACATATATTGCCAGCTTTACGTACCTAGCCTAGATTTTTTTTGGTGAGGAACAAATAGGGTTGGTGAAGAGAAAAAATTATTATAGATCACAAATTCAATTTTTTTTTTTTAATCAGAAATAGAATGAGGTGGCAGATTGAGCTGTATTTTGGGCAGACAAGGAAACAGTTATAGCATAAGCTACATTTATAATCTTCTCATTCCTTGGAAATTGATGCAAATTTTCTAAACAGAATAACAAATTCAAGATTCGTCATGGGTGTGGGCGGCGATATGTTGCAACAAGTGACGCATAACAACATTATGCAAGTTTAAAAGTAGTATTCAAATTAATTTGGGTTCAATTCACTAAGTCCTCTTCCTAACAATTTATAATTTTGTCAAGTCTATTAAAAGACGATATCTTTAGCAATTAAAACAAGTCACGTTAGAGGACGATATGGATTTCGATGATTGTATAGTTAATGTTGAAGTTGATAGAACAAACTTGTGTTCAAATCTGCTTACTAATTCAGCCAGATGCGGCACGGTGTCCCACCTTTTCACTTGCCATTTGGTGGGACTCTTCCCAAAGGCGAACCCTCCTCCATTGGTGATCCCTAGTACATTGATTATTATGATTAAGACATTTATCTCACAAGAAGTATGAATACCAGATTTATGAGGACTAGATCATCGGGATACACACTCGTGTTTAATTGATTTACTATCACGTTTTTTTCATACTTCCCGTCTTGAAATGAAATTATACTCTTCTGTTGCAAGATGTTTGGTTTATGTCCCCTTCCAGCTATTGCTTTCTCTTTAATTTTTTTGTTATTAGTAAAATACCTCTATAATGTGGTTTGAATTTAAAAAAAAAAAAAAAGTAAGTCATGTTAATTTTAGTATAATGAATGGAAGTCTCTTTAAATCCAACAAAATATGTCTCAATTACCTAATTCATAGTTCTTTAATTTAAACTCAATCAATACCACCTCTACTTCGTGTTTATTGTCAATT